GTAGTTATTTTGATCTATAATTACTTGCCAAGAATATTTCAATGATTGTTAAATGGAGAATGAAATTCAATTCCATCTACATATCATTACAAGGTAAGGGCAAGTTTATAAGGCAGTGAGTGCAATGCTAATCAACCCTTCTGAAATTAAAGAGGAATTAAATGATTGAAATCCAGTGGGAGGTATTTCAGCTCTAATCAGGTTGTTTAATAGAGTTTGGCACATTGTGCCAAATATGCCCTCTTTTGAATGTGACTTGATTTTGGCCAGCAATTAATTAAAGAATAAAGAGTTATTGTGAAGACCTGCTCAATTCTTGGGCTGATAAGTTGGTACCTTCTGCAGAAGTGTGGTGAGGCTCCATGAGGTGTTGGGCCCTGCATTACTCATGAAAATCTGACTTCAAAGACCAGAGTATTTCCTTAGTGATTGCTGTTCTACCGTGGAATAATGCCATAGAGGCACTACATTAAATTAAGCCAGCAACAGGGAAAATATTGTATTAAGATATCATATTGAGAGAATGTGTTGGTATCAGTACATCAAATTAATTGTTGAATTATACTTAAAGTGCTAGCAAAGCCCTACAGCTTCTCAGAAATCATTTTGAGCCCTACCAAGTTAGGTTCTGCTGATCTTGATGCCAAATGATAAATAAAGATTTGAGTAGACTGGGAGAATTCTTTTAGCAAAAGGTGATACTGGAAAATGTTCTGTGCCAGTGCTAATTGGAATAATGAATAAATGGATTATTAAATAAACAGGTTGGTTTCTTGCCAATAAATTCTGTCCCTGGGCTGGGTTTTCTCTCTGTCTCCACGCTTTGAATGACTCCACGTCTCCCTCAAGCAGAGTTTGATACCTGAGTGAGAGCAGGAGTGTCTGGGCTTTCAGCAGGACTTGGCCAGGGCTGCGCTGTGCTTGTGGCAGGGGGAATTCGCCATCTGCTGGCCCTGCCGAGGCTCCTGCGGAGCTCCCTGGCACCTGGGCAGGGTCACCTGCCCCGAGAGAGGGGCAGCAAATCCCGCAGGAGGAGCAGCATCAGCGCCTCCCTCTAGGGCAGCGCTGGGGCTCCTTTTAGTGCAGCGATTCGTCTGAGGGAACGAGTGCTGCAGGAGAACAGGGGTGTGGGATCCACTGCTTGCCCACACTGTGAAACTAAAGATCTGTGCTGGAAAAAGGCACAATCATCACAATTGTGATAATCACAGTTATCACAGCATGCAAACACGGCACTTTCATAAATAGATATCATCAATTTTAAGGCTTACAATAACAGTAGGCAGGATTCAACACAACATCACCTAACACTCTTAACCTCTTAAATCCTGATTAAAAATGTCAGGTGCAAATTCCAGTTTTAAATTACAAAAGAATTTACTTCAAACAGATTTGTCTTAAATTCTGAACTATTTTCCTCTATCAAACAGTACTGCGTTCCTTTCTACTGGAAACTGTCAAGTTGAATTTTCTTTGGAGGTTAGAATTGAATTTAATAGGATATTAACTGAGGCTATAACATTGGATTGTATTGTACAGAAAGTGAACAGTTTATAAAATGAAAATTCATAAAATGAAAGTTTATTATTGTTTAAAAATTACTAATACAGCTTGTGAAATTCTAGGGTAAATATTTTCAATATCAGGTCACTGAAATATCTATTTGCAGCTATGTTAGAGTTTTGTGGTCTTTTATATTTTGTTTTTTAGTGTGCCATTTTCTACCTTCCAGTTCCCTGTCACTCAGCCAGATGTTTATAATTCTGAAAGCTTTTAATTTGAGTGAAAAAAATTAGGCATTGTATACAAATTGAATTTGTTGTGCTGTCTTTTTACGAGTAGAAAATGAGATTAAATTTTTTACTTTCCACTGTATAGTCAATCTAATTATTTTATTTGTTACATTTTTTAATTACTTTAGATACTTTTCTCACTGACAGCTGAGTCCTTTATTTGCATCATCAAGCCAATTTTTTTGGTTATATTCATAAATACCTGTTATCTTAAGAACCACCAAAACCTATCTCTTCCTTCATTAAAGCTTTGATAAAGTGCATTCCTAGGAAAGTAGTCTTGTATGAATTTAAATTATTTTAACTATGCTTTCTTGCTATCATGAAAAATACCTTGGCAATAATACAGTGTCTAAAAAGTGGGAATTTTGATTTTAGAGCATCGTGGAGTTCATCCTTGTATCTAACACATTGATCTGTTAATTCATGCAGACACAGTCATGCATTTTAACACAAGCTTGTGATTCTCAGATTGGGAAAACATGATGAAACATGACTTTAAACTCTTTTGCATACAACTTTTATTAGATGTTTATTTTATTTGCTGACAACATCCACATCCATGTGCTGTGAGCAGCCCATAATCACAGTGAAGTATAAAACACATTTGAGTTTGTTGTGTGCAATGCATTGAACATTAATGGAGCAGTCATGTCACGACTGTGGGCTCTGTGTGGTTTAAAAAGCCACTGGAATTTGTGCAGGGCCTGGTGGTAAAGCACTGTTTAAAACCAGGGCTCTGTTCTGTACAGTGAAAGGCTGAACCTGTTCGTACCCACGTGGCAAGGTCTGAAACTCTGCTGCCCCAGCTGCAGCTCTCAGGCAGGGGTGAGGTTGTGGGGTGGGGAATGGAGCTGGCAGTGCAAAAATCCAAACAAATATCCATGCAAACAGAGCACTGAGGAGCAGCCCTGAGAGTCAGGGGGAGCAGCACTCGGATGAGCTGAGAGCTCAGATCAATCACAGCTCTCCTGTCCAAACGGGGACCAAACTAAACCCTGTAGAAACCACAGGACCAGGAATGCTCTGTTCAAAACATGTCAGACACAATGGGAAATAACTCTGTCTTGCTGAGAAAAAGTAAAAAATGATACTGCTTTATTTTGTCCATAGAATAATTATGGTAATAATTTTTCTGAAGTTCCTGCCTACAAATTCAACAATATAGAATGCATTCAAGAAATCAGAGCAGCATGCATTTTCCATCTATTTGATTTCATAAAATTACTTCAAAATTTGAATGATAATTTATTAATTTCAAGCTTGTGAAAAATTTTACTTGGAGGAGGCCTATAATTGTGAGGTGGGAAAATCAGACAGAAAATTATCACTACAAAATTGGTTTTGTGTGTGAAATAAGCAAAGATATGTAGCCTGCGTACAAAATAGTAGTTTATTCTCAAGAAAAAGAGCTTTCAGTGGATTTCTTTGCAAAGTTCTAATGCAAATAAGAAATACATGCCCACTGAAGTACCCTGAAGTGTTTTATGATGCAGAAAGAGTAAAAAAGTTTTAAACATGGTTGTGTTTGTTGTTCTCCCAGCTGCTTTGTCAATTTCTTAGTTTAAAGGGTATAAAGAATGTAGAAACAGAGGTCACATTAGATATTCCACAGATTCATACCACTGTGGCACTTCATGACCTAAAAAATAGAAATCCTAGGAAACATAGAACCTTTTCATTTGGAAAAGACCATTGAGTCTTACCATTAAATCCTATTTATTCATGTCTTCAACTGCCCAGTTTTGTCTGCATGTACAGGTGGTACATGATTGCACCTTGCTGTTGTAATTTTTGGTATAATGCAAAAGTTATGGAGAAAGTTTTAAAAGTAACCTAGCTGCAATAAATTGTTCATGTTTGCTTTCAAGTTTGATTTTTTAAATTACTGTACAAACTTTGTATATTGTTTTGAGAATTACCCTAAATGGGCAGCTCCTCTTCTTTGCCACCATTCCCAGTTTAATTCATTACCTTTGGGTGGGGCATGTGGTTATTTGTTGGGTCTCTGCAGTTTTTCTGTGCTACTGGATAGATCTTTCTCTTCTGGACTTGTGCCTGAGATCAGTGGTCTGAAGAAATAGATTAATTAATGAATTGTATTTATATTTTCAAAGTGAAGACACATTTTTCTCTTTTTTCCCTTTTTTTCCCCCTTGCCTTCTATTATAGTTTAAATGACTTGGACGGAAAAGGTTAATATAAAGCCCACTGTACATTGGTTGGTTGTCTTTATCAAGGCACTTTGTCTGGAAAATCCCTTTCTTTGTGTTACACAGTATGAAAACTCAAGCTTAATGAAAATGAAAAGTCTCTGTCAAGGAATGTTGTCATTTAGCCAGGAAGATCTTTTTCTTCTTGACCAAGCTGGCAACTCCTCATTAGGCTACTAAAGATATCAATGTCCAGACTGTACAAATTTCAAGATGGGTCAATTCTGAACAGAAAGGTTGAGTAGTTGTCCCTTTTTCCTGTTAAGGATTGAGTATAAACCCCAGCCTGGTTTATAGTTAAAATAAAAACCTGTGTATGCAAAACACCTTGAAAAACATTTCCTAGACATCTGCTTGTTAGTTCAGAACTTCTCTCCTTTGTCACTATGAAACTCTGGGCACTTACCCAGTGAAATTTGCTTCATGAAAGTGTTTATCTTTATAAACTCAGAACCTCTGCACACCAGTGGGCATGGAGCAAGAGAGAGAGAGCAGGACACAGCCCAGAGCTCCTACAGAAGCAGCACCAGGAGTTGTTTGGATTATTTGGAAGGGACACTGTCTCGTGCTCTGGCAGGTGAACATGGGCAAGAATTCCAAATCTTACTCTCTGAAGTGGAATTGAGCAGCTAAAACCAGGTCAAAAAGGGATTTGGCACACCTTAGAGGGAATTTGACCACCTTCACTCAAGATGAGGGGAGGTGGGAAATTTCTGTAATCAATCAGGTGAGGAGGTGGGGCTGAAAGTCACCCCACCCAGGTGGGCTGGTGATGAAGTTTGGTGCTCATCACCTCATTCTCACCCGGCTTTAACTAAGATATTTACAGATCCCCTGCAGCAGGATACTGGGTTTTAAAAACATAGAACTGTTATCTCAACTACCATTATTACCTAGTACTCTGCTATTGGTAAAATCTGTGTGACACTGTGTTTTGTACAAATCTTTGGTATCTAACAGGACAGCAAAACATGTAAAGAAAAATGTTTGACTTGTTCAAACACTTCTTTACAACTTATAGACGTCTTGAATACTTTAAATTGTTTCTTAGTCTTGAAAGGAACTTATGTTATTCATTCAGCTATTTTGAAAACAGCGTTTTTGCTGTGGTCAAATATTGCTAGGTCCAGCTTCAGGGAGGTAGGGGAAAGGGAATTAAGCACATATCAGGTATGTTGGTTTGTTGACCCTCAAACCTCTGAACTGGCAGTGTTTGAAAGGGAAGGCGTAACTTTGTCTAAACTCTATGGTTTTAAAATGTAATCAGGAATTGTATAGCATGGCTTCATGTACAACAAAACTATTCTGTACTTTCAGTCTTTCCAATTCTGCTTTGGTTCTGCTGCACAGGCAGAACAAGGTGTCACTTGAAGTCATTTAGGGGCAACAAAACGTTTTACTTTCTGTATTTAACTAGGAATGATTATTTCTTAGTGGTTGAGAAAATCCTGTAACTTTAGTGCTGATCCATTCTATCACCCTGGCTCTCGTCTGCATTTCTTCTGGGTGTGAAAACCATCTCCAGCAGAGGCTGCCTCTCTATGGGGTGCATGGACAAGTCGTTGTTTTTCTGGATGTTGTTCAGGCCTCTTCCTTTCACTGTCTGCACTCTGCAGCGCCTCAGGAGAGTCACCAGGATTGCCTTCATCATGACCATGGCAATGAACTTGCCCACGCAGCTCCGGGGGCCGAACCCAAAGGGCTGGAAATAGCGGGAGGGGACCTGGGGGAGCAACGGGAGGAGCAAACTCAGAGACAGGGTTTTCTCCTTAAAAGCAGTGAAAATAATGATGGAAACTGGTAGTGGATATTATTGCCAGTCAATATTATTGCCAGGGCTATGTACAAATCACAAATGGGATGGGACTGCTGGGAACGTGCCTTGAGCTGTTGTATTTTCCAGCATCAGTCTCATTGCATGGTTATGACAGTGGGAAGATGCCAGCAGCTCACATCCCAGGCAGCAGACCAAGAACTTAATGTTACAAGTGACTTGAAAGTTTTTTGACCAATCACACAAAGCAAAATCACATTGACAGTAGTTCTATCCAACCACTATAGGCACAGGTACCTTTGGTTAAAGAAAGCTTGCTTATTTCGAATACAATCCCTGCTTGTAAGCCTTAAACACAATGAACAGAGCTCCCTTATTAAGCTTAGAACTTCCTAATATCTCACTAGATACACTTTTCTGCAGCTTAGGGAGTTATTCTAGACCAGTGTTAATGCCCAGACAATTGTTCTATTTGTCCTCACTTTTCTACTTCTTACATAATTTTTCTGCTGACCAATCTTACGGCTACTGCTTAACTCTAATCAGAGTTCTGCTGTCTCTGAGGCCTGCCTTTTGCAGCTTTCCCAAAACCCTCTGATTTTATGGATTCCCACAGATATATTCTGAAAAACTTGTGGAAATCAACTTTTGAGGGCAATTCCTCATTTCACACTGGAAATTCCAGGCCCAGCTACAGGCACTGACAGAATAGGGACCAGCCCTTGGAAATTCAGAGGTAGCAGGGATTGTACAGTTAAACAATTGAATTCTGCTCGTGTGTTTGTCTGTTTGTCCTGGGAACTACAGTGATTTCACCACAAGCTGTGAAATGGAGTGAAGCCTCTGCTCTTCAAATGCATTAAAGTTCATTAAAAAGTTCTTCAGAAAATGTTCATTATAAAGCTTATAAATATCTGAAATGATGCCTTGTCTAATGATAATCACTGAGCCATACGCCTACTCCATTTGTAATTATAAAGCTAATATTTCTGAGAACTAATTTGTCATGAAATTAAATGTTAAAATTTTTCATATTTAATAGAGAGATAACACAAAACTATTGTCTTCTGCCCTGGCAGCTGAAATATGAAATGCAGGATTCCCAGAATTCCTGAAGAATCAACAGCTAGTTTCTGCTACCTTTATTGCCATTGAATAGATCAGTTAAAAAGCAAGTATGGTTATAAAGAAATTATTTTTCTTCATCTGTGTAACTTCTTTTTAAAAAAACCAGGTATTAACCATGTTCTGATTTCCTATTTAACAAGAATAGAGTAGAAACCATTTATTTCTATCAAATCATCTGGAAAAAAGTGTACTGTTTTTTCTTACTTTCAGACTGACAGAAGTGTTCAGTTTAATTTTTTTTAAATAAACTGAGCTGTGCTTTTGGAAAAATTATAGATAAATACAAGTGTTGATAACACAGAGCAAGTACAGCAGCTGGCAGTGCAGCACAATGGCAAATGCACAGCCTGTGAAAATGGAAAAATGTTTAGATTCTAACAATGGCATCTTATCATAAATAATGCTGTGGATTGCTATTCACTTAGAGAACTGGAGGGAAATTGTGCCTGCCAGAATAATTATGTGGCAAACAGAATGCATCAAGTCAGATAGAAAATGTGTGGTTAAATATTTGGTCAAGGGGAAATATTTTTAGTAGCAAAATGTCCTTGTAAATTAAGCAAGATACCAATTTTTGATAGAAATACTTGGAATGTAAATAATGGGTGGCAAAATGGAGTCTATTCACAAGGAATTGTAATTTTGATAAACTTCATCGCTTACTCTTCTTGAACTTTCTGCAAAAACTTTTTTTGAGCTGTTGTTTTTAATGTGGTTTGCAGGATTTGCTCAGCAGTTGAGAAATATGAACCAGGTGGATTAATACTAGTTTTTTGTGTGTGTTATATTTGATATGCTTAGCTTTTTTGGTAAGAAATAGGTAAACCTTAAAGTTTTTTTTCTGGCTTGAGCACTTTTTTGTTTTTCTTTCTTAGTTGTTGCTTCAGGTGTTTGTGAGTCCCTTTTTGGTGTATCAAAGTAATCTGTTCTTTTTTAAAGCTGAAGTTGCTGCTGTCAGTGTTCATTTGTGCAGCTGCTAACATATCAGTGCAGTTTTAATCTCTCCAGGTTATTATTGCTGAACAAATACAGCTTCGCAAACCCAATTGTTTAATCAGTAATCAGCAGAGCAGAGGTCTGAGTAAATAATCTGAAGGATGATTTGAACCAGTGGGGGATTACAAGAAGAAAAAATATTCACATATTGCTTTTGATTGTAGTTCTCCTGGTAGTTAGAACATAACTTCATTTGAAATTCAGAGCTGAACGGGAACTTAATTACTCAACATCTGCAGTATTGAGTTAGTTAGAACTTAGCATTCTCATTATGGTCTATAAAATATTGTTAATTTAAAGAGGAAAAAAGAGAATAACATGGGCACTGGATCCCCAGTCTCTCAGAAGTTACTGCACTGCTCCACCTCTCCAGAGAATGCTCAGTTCTGTGGGCTGCTGGCATGGCTTTAGCCCCATAAAACCTTTTTATTTTGTCCAGTGCCAGGGGATATAATGGCAACCGTGTGTGTCTGACAAATTTAATCAGAGATTTTTAATCAAAATTATAATGTCTGGAAAAACTGTTTTCTATATTATGATTATTTTTTATTTAAAAGGCAGCTTGAGAGGAAAATATCTGCCCAGCTCTAATAATAATAACAGTACTCAGAAGGTTGTATGGCTAATTGGGCACTTAGACAAAGGGAAAACAGTCTTATGGCTGCAAAGTTCTTGAGCAAAGTAAGAGGAAGAGACATTAGCAATAAATAAAATCCAAATTTCTGAAAGAAACAAGATGGAACACTTACATTTTTCTCAAAATTTTCCAGAGAGAACTCGTTTGGCTTTGGGAAGAATTCGAGTTTGTGCATGCGGCCGATGTTGAGGATGATGTTGGTGCCCTTTTTCACGGGGTAGCCATCAATGACATCGTCCTGCAGTGCTTTCCTCATGATCAGGTCCACCACTGGCTGGTATCTCATGCTCTCATAAATAAAATTCTCCACAGTTTTTAAGTTTGGCATGTCATCACTTTGGATGTCTCTGTCGCCTTGTGGAATAGAGCAGATGGTGAAGAGATTAGTTGGTTAGGAATTTAATAACTTCATTGTACAAATATCAGAATATTTTGGGAAGATTCTCGGGTTGAGGTTGTATGAAGGATCCAACAGCTTCTAAGGAGTTGTGTGGCCTTACTTATTGAGGAAATCTGGTATATTGTTCATTAGTGTAAATCCTAGTTTATTAATTAACAATCTTCTCATCTTCTTATCAGTCCTTGTTCTTGTCACCAACAAAACTCTGGGGGTCTTTCTTTGGGTTGTGCATGAGAGAGCAACAAGGAACAACAAATTCATCTTCCAGGAGCTGACAGCAAACAGACCCTGGGGACAGTCTGGAGCTAATTCTGTAGGGATGTTAAATTTCCACCCTGTGGTAAAGCCTTACCTTAGAGGGTAAGGCTTCAGAAAGAAGCGGGGAAAATGAGTGACTGAGTACTCTCATGAGGACAGTGCAATGAGGATTATTAAATGTACCTTAGAAAAAGAGTAAAAGACTTGTGATACATTTTCTGGGGTTTAACAGACCAGAAGTAAGTCTTAAATAAGAGTGGATGAAATTAGTTTCTATATTGGTTCAGTGTCAGGCTTTGAATGAAGGCTAGAGAAGGGGAAGAATACAAATTTGGAATATCTTGATTGTGTTTTGAATAGTTAGTAATTAGTACTTAGAGGAGGCCAATTTGAGATCAAAATGGATGACAGCAGAATATAATTTTAATTTTGTGTAGTCTTTTCCTTCTAGAGTTATAATGAAACTTAGAGAAGTTCTCTATTTTAGCACAGAGAAATACTGGTGATTAGAATTATTTGAAACAAGTGCCCCCTTTTGCTATTTCAGGGTAACAGGAAAATAATTTCAATTGAACTTGAGGTGAATGCTGATACTACTCTGTGGTTGCTGAGGAGAAAATATACCACATTTTTTTCTAATATATTATCAATTCTGATGATTCCTATTTTATTTTATAAATTTCTCACATTTTTTAATTTGCTCTTTAATATAATTTTTTACTTACAGTAATAGTTCATATGTTTTACAGCAAACACTTCTGTTAGGAGGAATTGCTTAAAATTTTCAGATTTAGACAAATTAAATTAGATCACTGCTGAAGCAAAATTATATTCCCACCTGACTGACTTTGCAGCTCATGCTTACCCACAACAGCTTCAATTTCTCTCATCATCTCCTCTTCCACTGTGGGGTGCTCTGCAATCAGGACTAGCATAAAGAAGAGAGTCACAGACAGAGTGTCAGGAGCAGCAATCATCATCTCCAGCACACACTGGTTCACATTCTCAGCAGTCAGATCCCCTCTGTTCTGGAAAAAAAAAAAGGAAATTTTGGAGAAAATGTTGATTGCTGACCTCTGACGCCAACAAAGGTCTTATAGAATGCACAATTTCTGGACAGTCTATCTTACACTAAATAGCATTTCTTTTTTGTCTTTCAGAGAATGACAGCTCATGTTCTGATGGGTGTTTTGTAGGAAAGCAGAAATCTGTGTTCTTAGCTCAAATTCCTTTTAGTTTGTTGCATTTCCTCAATGAGTTTGTGAGCTGTCAGAGATTACACAAGGTAGGAGTGATATAACATTTGAAACCTTTCCAAACATAAGGCAATATATTAAATAATACATAAGGGTTAAAAAAAAGACTGAAGGACACTCAGGGATAGATGCAAGAGTTTTAGGGATGTTGTTTAAGCCATGAAATAAGTATGACAAGCACCTGATCCTGAATACAATATTTCTATGTGAGTCACTCTCAGGGACTCCCCAACACCAACTCAGCATCCCTTTATGATGATGTGACTTTTGGAGAGGCATGTGAAGATTAAATTGCAGAGTCTGTGTTCAGGCGAATGTCAGAAAACCCAAAACTTGCCATATTTTGAGTAAATTCCCAATACCTGTGCAAAAATCAACTGAGATGCAAAATCCATGTGTTCATCCAACTTTTCCACAGTGGAAAGCTTTTGTCTTTTCTGTTCTATTAAAGTTTCCATTGTTCCTTTAAGATCCTTGCTGAAAAGAGATGAAATGCAACATATTTTTAAATATCTGCACCAGAGTATGACTAGAAATACAGAGATATATCAAGAAAAGCACCTAAGGATGGCAGAAATTAAGTATTCCTAAGAATAGTTGTGTGGTTCTCTGCAAAAGTAGTAATACTTAGGCAAAGTGTGTTTTCTTATTATTCTTAAATAATTACTTGACAGTCTGGAATGAATCTTAATCTCTTTTTATAGAATAGACTGAAAAGGAGGGAAAAGTGTCTATATACACTATTAATGAATAAAGGTTTTAAAGATTTATTACCATTTCCAAAGAATTATTTTCTTTCCTTGTATCTTATATTGTGTTTTATCAGTAAGTAAAATGAATTTAGAGAACATAAGGGATGGTTTTTTTAGACAAGTATTAGAAAAATTGTATATTGGAGTAGAGTTTATTTAAACTTTTCATATTTGAATAGTAATACTGTGTCAACAGTTTGTGTTCCAGTGGTGGAAAAAGTAAAGTTCAAAGGTTGTTATAAATTTTGGGGGAATTTTCAATTAATTATAGATTTGAAAGCAATTGTTTAAAAAAAGTATTCTGAAAAGGTTTGGAATGGAATCTTCAGGTTTTTCAAATGTGGATTTGTTACTGTTTACTTAGATAATGTGTATTTGTAGGGTAAATATATTTAGAATTTCAATTACCATAAAGATCTCAGTATTTATAAATATTTTATGTATTAGAAATAGTTAGTAGTCCTTTTTGAAAAGTTTATCAGAAGAATATTACAAGTCTTCATATCCTGTGGTGGTTCTTTGCATTGTCTTAAATCCAGAAATATTTTCTTTTTTCTTTCTTTGCAATAAAAAATTATTAATAAGTTCATTTTTTATGGGACTGCTTTTGAAATATCAATATTTGCTTGCAGGGGCTTTCTGGTAATTACTGGGCTATAATAGTTTATTATCAGCATCACAGGATAAAGCAGTAATCAGTGCCATAATAAAACTAGCAAGCAAATATCAGAAAAGGTGAATCTTGTGTCCGGTGCTCAAGAGCTGTCAATTACCTTGGGTGAACTTGATCTTTTCCTTAGAGCCTTTGTTATGTAGCACTATCAAAGCAATTTATTGCATATCCTTCTTAAGGAACAATTTCACTAGATGGAAAACAAATCCAAAATGGAAAAAAGTGACTGCCAGCTCTTTTTAAAGCCAGCTCTCTTTTGGCAGAAGACAGAAAAGAAGATCACAAAACTGGAAGAGTAATTTTGTGTTTTTGCAAAGAGGAAAATGGCAAAATGTATTTGTTCCTTACTTAGGGAAAAAAACCCTCAACCTTGAAATGGATTATCACACTGAGCACCAAGTTTCAACTCATAAATGAGTGTTTGACTCAAAAATGCATGTTGAGAAATCCAATAACCAGAAACTGCTCAAGGGTTAACTCTTGGGGGTCTGTGCCCTGAATACAGATGGGTTTCCTTGTTTGGACGAGCTGCAACCTGATTGTCCTCAACTGGACAGCAAATATCACTTCATCCATACAATGGCTTTTCCTTGTCTGAACCAAAGTTTCAAATTTGAGTGTGCATGAACTGATATTTTGGTGAATAAATTGGGTCTGAATAAACAAAGCTTTTAACTGGTCCCAGAATTCAGCTACTTGTACCACCAGTGACAAACCTGGTTCTGTCTTGGCTCTGCAAACAGGGGACCTCAGCAGCCACCTTTGCAAGTGTCACAATTTAGTGTCTAAAAGGCAGAGGAAAGCTCTGATTCATTTCCCTTGATTTCCCATTGAGGGAAATGCTTCTTCATAAAAAGAAAGACTCTTATGCAATCACTCTGTAGAACGGTTGATACTCACACTGCATCTTTGTACTTCTTGCACAGCCAAGAAATCTTAAAAAATATGTCAGGCTTTAATAAAAGGGCTTGCCAGGCATCAAAGTAGTTTTGAATCTTAAGCACAATGGCATTTTCTGAAAAGAAATGTAAAAAAAAAAAAAGGTCATTAGTGAAGTAAGGTAAATCTTTCAGAAATTTAATAATAAGGTTGGGTTCCCTACTCCACTAAGTTCCTGGGAATCTGATAAGCAACTGGTAGGTAACATTTGAAGCACAGTGTATGAAAGGTCTAGATCTTTGCAGAAACTCTTGGTAACTTGCTGCAAGGACACAGAGCTGTGTCAGCCAGACCAAAGAGTCTCCCACAGGAGAGCAGAAGCAGAGCTATTGCAGAACACTGGAAAGGGCCATTTAGACATCCTGATAATATTATTTCTGTTATAGGCTGAAGAAATAGAAAATATAATTTTTTTGGTGAACTTTTTAGAGCAATCATTTAGTTTGGTAGAAAGATTTCAGATTCTTGCGTGACTATAATTTAATATTGGAATTGTACCAATTTGGTGCATAAACATCTCTTTAAATGGCACAATTCATTAAGGTGGGTGAAAAGCTAATGCATATTTTTGGTCACGTAAAAATTTTTTATAACTACCATGATACTAAATCCATTCAATTAATTATTGATATGGTGATACAAGGGTCTGGTCTTGCTCTGTTATGTTGAGACAAAACAGCTGAGCGGCGTCAATGAATTTTCCTTGGATATGCATTTCAGGCCCATCCTGAGGCCCAGAACTGGAGCTGTCAGTACCATCCAGGGGGACCCCAAGGAAGAGCTTGTTGGAAGTGTCGAGCATGATCCTCCTCATGAGGTTGAGCACGTTGATGTTGCCCAGCTCCGTGGTTTCCTCCTGCAGCTGCTCCAGGTGCTCGATGGTTGACTCCACGCAGATCGCGATCATCCGCACCAGCCCGGGGCCAGACAGAGCTGGGACATTTGTGCAAAAACACAAAAGGTTGGTTAGGTTTTGTACCTTCTTTATGATGCCTCAAGTGGTGATAGCAGTGTTGATGAAATGGCCAGTTGTGTCATTGGGCTGGTGTGAAACCATTCTGGAGCTTCAGTGGCTTATTGTTCTTAGAAAGGAAAATCCAGGGATGGATTGTAGCAGCCTGAATAGCTGCTGATATAGTCCAGGGTAAGGAAGCAAAAAGGGTCTTTGCTAGCATAGTCCAGGGTAAGGAAGTAAAAAGGGTGTTTGCTAGTATGGTACAGGTTAAGGAAGCAAAAAGGGTCTTTGCATAATATCCACACATGTTTTATTCAACTGTGAGGTGAGACGTTCAAGTCCTGACCCCTATGCACAGAGGGTCTCCCTTACTCTCTATAGGGGCCTGGGGGCTGACCCTGGTCTTGGGGAAGTACAAAGGTGAGGAACAATCAGGGAAATGGGAGGGAGTGGCTCAGGGACATAGGAGCAGACACAGGAACAGGGCAAGGAGCCAGTGGGGTCTAACAGCTTTTTGAGGGAAGCTTCTCGTGTCCCCTAGAGCAGGGAATGTCACCCAGGGTCTCCACAGTGGATTTCAGACAAACACAGCAGCATTTCAGGGAGGGTTGGCTCTGTGTGTGTCACAGGGATGCAGTGTCAGTGCACATGGTTACCTTTGGTGAAAAAGGGCCGAATTTCTTTCCAGTGAGCTGGGTTGTTGTTAAATATGATCCCATTCTCGTACATGCCAATGCACTGCAATCCAAGCTTGCTCCCAAACCGAGACACGTAATGCCAGTGCTTCATTACATGGAACACGCTGGAGGATCTGGGGAAGGAAGGAGGAAAAAGCCCCCAATAAAAGAACTGTTTAATGGACTAAATACAGCATTTGTATGCTGACATTTTACAGTTGCTCCCAAGTGCTGACTCGCATTCTTAATTTAGCAGCAAGTACAATGCTTAGCACGAAATGTTGTTCCTTTTACATAATTAAAAATCTGATCAATGCTTTCAGAATTTATATTAAAGCCATAAGCTGTTCTGCTCAGATTTAAACTATTTTTCAATTAAAATGCAAATAGTTGATGAAGGATTTTTTTAAAGGATTTAAAACTGAATAGTGTGTATACATAGAAATGTGTAGATATATATGACACACTTAGGTAGTGCCCAGTGTCAGATATTTCAGAGGATAAGGTGAAATATTTGATGTGTACTAAATTACAGCTTTACTGTTGTATAGTCAATGCCATGTACTCTTTTGTAGTTCTTTGATCATTCTCAGACACATATTGAAAGCATAAAAACACATGCATCACTTGAATATGCATTATCATAGTACAACGGTATGTGTGGGATAAATAATAAATATTCTTACAGAGATACATAAGGGAAATCCATGATATGCATAATTATATTTTCAGTCAGCGAGATTAATTTGGTGGTGCTGGCAGACAGCATTCTTGCTTTAGGATGTAATTTCCTTTAGAGGGAGCCAGCATTTCAGAAATGTGGATGTGATGAAACACTGATCAAAGGAAATCCAACCAAAAGAAAGAAAATCAGATCAAAGATTTGAAATGAAACAATATGCTTCTTTCTGTACTGTGCAGTATAGTCTATGGGCCAAACCCCAGACTACTAACATGGGCTTAGTTTATTTTTTCAGTCAGATAATATAAACGTGGCTTTTGCTATTGACTGCAAATATCCTTGGTTTTACAGTTTTGCTTCCTCCTGTCCCACATGTCTCTGTGCAGGAGACACATCATAATGTTTCAAGGCAGGGTTTTGTCAAGTGACCTTGCATAAGGAGGTTTTCCTTTTGAAACCTCCAAAAGACATCAGCTATTGTAAGCAAGACTGCAAATCCTTCTCTCTGAGCATTAGCACCTCAGTATCAGATTTGATGCTAAAAGTTCAGATGACATTGGTGAAAAGAGATGACATTGATTTTCTTGTGCAGAAGCCAGGTTATGTTTAGTTTTGCAATGAATTTAGGATCCACTGAAAATTTTATTCTATGTTCTTACTTTAAAAAAAGTTAAATATTCGTTTTCTAGGTATAGCCGATGATTTAAAGCCAGAAATGTCTGAAAAGAAACAATGTATAGACTGTAAATCTGGCACTGTTTAGCAGCACTCCTGGTTTGTTTCTGGTAAATTGGTAGCACAAAGACAGCTGTAAGAGTTGCTAGGAATTTCAAAGCATTCAGAGCATTCTCACAACATTTTACTGCTTTAGCTGATATTTGCAACACCTTTGTAGGATAGAAATGTGAACAGTTTTCTTGTCATGATTACTTCTTTCTACTGAGGTTTAAATAGAGATGAAGCTGACTTGCACCATATGGCAAATTCTGTGATTATTCTCTATGCTGCTCTTCTTTCAAAGGTTTTTACTTAATGAAGGTATTAATTGATTGACACTGTTACTTAAAAGGTTCTGATTCTTTATCAATTACATGTGGTAAACCTTTTACTGCTTTTTTTTTTCTTTTTCATGGCATGACTTGTAATAATCCAATTCAAGAAACCGATGGAGCTAATAAAATGCTAGGCTGAAGTTTAGCATTATGTTTAATACTGTGCATAATTGAAACCCATGAATAATCCCATTAATTGGAGTGGAATTATTCCTAATGCTATAATGCTGTATTTGCTAAGTTAAATCACTGAATTGGAGCCATAACCTTCAAGCATTTACTTCCACTTTAAGGAGAAATTTAAAAACACAGAAAATGAAAATTTGACTTAATAACACATTACAGTAAGCCTAGATCCCTAAACTGAAAGTTATCTCTATAATAAATGGATAGTAAAATAGATGGTAAATTATTTCTAGGATTTAGCCACAGTAATTTCCTATCCACAAAAAATATTAGGAGAATTCACCAAAACTTCAACAGCAGAGTCTTTAAACAGACAGAAGATTAGAAAAAGGTCTAGAACAGTAAAAAGTAATAGGCTTTTGTTAGGACAATTTTCGAAAATAATAACTTCAATTCTGCTTTAGAATAAAGTAGCAAAGAGGTTGTAAAGATATAAAGCTTTTCAAGTTATTAAGTATGGAAAATAAGGATTTACTTGCTAATTATAAATGTTTCTTCACCGCCGATCCAAACTCTCACAAACTCTCCGTATGTCTTGTTGTAGTAGTTGCAGGCATTCCCTACTCCCATCCAGAGAAATCTGCCATGAGAGATGAGGGGGCCAATTCCCATGCAGTATCCTGGCCCTAAGAAACAGGGGAGAGAGGGCTGGTCTCAGCAGTGCTCACAGACAAGAAAACGCCTTTTGAAAGGAGGTTTTACACACGGCAGTCACAGCCTGTGCTGGGCAGCTCACACAAACTGTCCTGCTCTGAGACTGTTGCAGGAGCTGCAGCTGTGCTGCTGAAATCTCACTGTCTGAGAGGCCTCTAGTGCTTTCAGTGGTACCTACAACAAATGACAGTCTTTGCTGCTTTGGACAGCTTCCAGCTGCTGCTTGCTTTTGGAGGGACAGTGGCTCCATCCTAGGAAGAAGAAATTCTCTTTTAGGCAAGAATCTTTTCCCAGGGTTTCTTCCAGGAGTCACTGGTTTAGGGTTATTCCTGTCCAACACCTGTGAGAGGCTGTGCACTGCTCTGCTCCATGCAGCACGGTGTTGCATCTGGTGGAAAATAAGCTGAGCCATTAAAGTCTAAACAGGCCCCCAGAATGTTCCAGAGGGGAAAGGAGATTCGATGTTGTTCTGTTCTAGAGGGTTTTCAGTGCTAAAGATAGAGAAACATTGATAACCTACTAAAATCTTAACAGCTTCTTAGATAACTGTCTAGAGTAAAGGTAATTTAGAGGCTTAAACTTTAAAACATGCAAAAAGTAGTTTATAATGCGCATGAAAATGGGAGTTGTAAAATAGAGTGAAATAGTTGAAAATCCTGAGCTGTAAAATAGTATTTTAGCTTTCTAGCATACACAAAATAAACTGAAGACAAAATGTCATATGACCAAGCCACAATTATTATGGAAGTTCTGAACTTAGAATATGCCTGATTTCCTTTACCAGGAAAGTTTAAGAATCTGTATTGCTTAAACTGATTCATAACAAATTTTGTTGTCATACCATGATTATTCAGCATTAATTTGGCACTTAAATTTGAGAAACAAACAAAAATTACTCTGAAAACTTTAATATTGCAGAAGGGCTAAAGCTGACTTACCTGGTATTGATGAAGTCTCTTCATGATTCCATATGAGGAAGAGAAAGCACATGAGGATGAGTATGGGCACGGTGGCCACGGGCATCGTGTCTGGTACCAGGCTGGTGATGTTGAAGTGCATTGGGTTCAGGGTCTCCAGGACCATCTCTTCAAAGAGGTTCTGCTTGGCTTCAGAAAGAGAGAGAAGGGAGAGAGGCAGAGGCTGTCAGAGGTGTTCAGCTTTGCTTGGTGCCTCTCAGCCCCTTTGCAGTCCCTACAAATGAGCAAATCCGCTCCGGACGTGGCTTTATAACCAGGGGGACTGCCTGGAGTGATTGCTGGGACAAGTCTCATCACAAGTCAGAAGAGACATGAAACAGACACATTTTTTTGCTTGGGAATAACAAAGGTTTTCTGACCTTGATGTTGAGGCATAGTTTTGGATATTTTGGCTGACAGACCTTTTATCTCTGATATCGGCTTTGCTGGCCAGCACTGAGGTTTACTCCTTGCACATCTCTAACCAAAACACAAGAAATTAAACTTTCAGCACATGTGCAAGCATTGAATGAGTTCACTTGCCAGCTTTTGTCTGTCTTATTTAGCTATTCCCTTCCTGCATGCCTGTAGTGCCAGAGTTCCTGAATTTCTAGAATAACTATGGTAGTTTTCAATGATTCAGATAATATACCCCAGAACCACAGTTTTTGTCTGAGACATGTATTATAGCTTTTTTTTTACTGCCGAACTTTGAGTGTAACATAATGAAATATAATGTAAAGCATTTCTTTATGGTTATTCTGTTAAATACTTTGAAAAATATAATACATGCCATAACAAACAGTGTCATAGATTCTCTGTTGCCATATTTTTACTCAGGCTGTAACCAGCACTCAGCACAAGAAAGAAAACCCAAGGACAGCCAACAGGTCTCATGCATAAAGAGAATAGAAGGATTAATTCAAAGGGTTTTTTGCATATTTTTGAATTAATTAGTAAAATATAAGAAGCTGGGTTACCTGGGAAGGAATATGTGTGAGGAGGAATGTGAGCGAGAATTCATTTAACCACAGGAAGGTACTGCTTGAACATGCACAATATTTTATTAAAAAAAAATCTTAATTCTGCTCTGGCGATAACTAAGAAGAGATTTGATTTGTTTCTTCCTGAAACAATATTTCAAAGTTGAAGGATATATTTACTTAGTAGAAGCTTTTAGATGCAGTTTACTTTCAGCAAGTGCTTTCTTATTGGTCTTGTTCTTTGGTTTAACGTAGCTGAAAAAATGGGAACTTGCTCTGTAGTGACCAGCAGTGCTATAATTATGTTAAACTAAGCCAAGAATGGGAGAGATGCTTTCTAGATAGTGAGAATCCTGGTGTGTATGGAGTGTAGGAAGGGTATATGGGAAAAGGGAGCAAGCAGTGGTTTAAAACCTTGCAGTGCGTGCAATGCTCCCTTTTGTATATTTTGTGTCCAGGCTTCTGGGGTTTTTATGATCCAAAGTGACCCAAGTGCCAGGTGACATTTCAGAACCATCCCTGCTGTTGCAATGGGGAGCAGCCCAGCCCTCCTGAGGGTGCCCAGGGACAGGTCCCACCCTGGACACCTCCAGATGTTCCACTGCCCTGTGAGTTGTGAGAAACAGCTTTGTATCCTCAAGCATTTTTATCACAATCATTTATGCCATGGAATTCATTAGTTTGAATTTCCTTGACTGCTACTCCTTAACACAACAAAAGCATGCCTGTGTGTATGTGAATGTTTTATCAGCTTCTGTCCCTTTCACTAAAATGAGTTTACAGCATTACAGAGGGAGAAAACCACACTTGGGGTGTATAGTTCCATTTTATGTTGCTTTCTCCCTGGATCTGCATAAACTTCATGTTTTTACTCCATTGCCACAGATAGGCTCTGATGTACATTGTGTTTTCTGGGTTGGTTTTCATTTCCAAGACATTCTGGTGTGTGCTCAGTAGTTTCACTGCCTCACATTCCCTGTGCAGACAAGCATGGAGCTGCTTATGCATTTGGGTGCTGTGAAATAAACCAATTTCATGCCTCCCAATGTGGATGTGTGAATATTAGATCTGCAGGGTGAGCCCTGGTGGAGTTGAAGGCCCTGATATGTTTGCACAGTGTACTTTGCAAGTATGAGTCTCCCCCTTCTATCTCCTAAAAATGAGTTTTGATCTTGTTCAGCTCTTAAATACTCACAGCTAAATCTTATCACTATTTTGACAGTGGAATGCAGACAGGTTTCTGTTTTTTCAAAATATACAGATAACAATGGACCAGGTTTTAGATTCTTGATTACCCTAGCTTCATGATTTTACAGTTTTTAGTAAAAGAATTTTTTCTTTTTCTATGTCCAACACCTTGCTGTTACATTTATAATTTTAACATCCTGGATTGTTCTGTCATGTAGATAAATGTACTAAAGGCAAAGTAATTGGTTTGAATATTTTATACACTCTTGACCTGATCTTAAACAGCCTTTAGTCAAAGTGGCTTCTCAAGCCCTTAAGCAGTTGATATTTCCTGTATCGAGGGGTTCTTTGCTTAAATTCAATGAGTATTAATGAAACATACTTTCAGGGCTTGCATTTTTAACCTCTTTTTTTCTCATTGCAAAAGCCAGCTGGGCCATGAAAAATTCACCTTAAAGATATTTCCACACAACTGCTTATCCTTCTTTTTATGCGTTGCATCTTTTAAGAACTGCCCACGAGTGAAATCTCTCCTCATAAAAGCTCAAACCCATTTGGACAGTGAGTAGTCACTGAGCAGACTGAAAAATTTAGGAATGGAACTGAGTTAGAGTGCCCACTGTGCATGAAGGAAAGTTTCCCTAGTCTTGCTCATTTATCTGCTGTAATTTTTCTTTTCCTTGCAGCTGGTTGAGGTGGCTCAGATCAGAGGGATTTGTTGATTTGGGTTGTTATTTATGGGGCAAAACTTTTAAATCCCACATCCAGTGGGGGAAAAGAGACTCATTATAGGAAAGGGCTTTTGGGACAGAATAGATGGATGTGCCCAGGCTGTCTGGCCTGGCAGCAATTACAGATCTCAGCACCCGGGAAAGCAGCTGCCAGCAGAGGGCCTTTGAGATTACTCATTTTTGAGATTGGCTACAAGGCACTAGGAGAATGTTCTAGCTTCTGTCAAACATTTTCTTGTTAAAGGTAATGTGAGGAATGATGGGTCCACAGTAAAGGGAAAAGCTCATACATCTAAAGGACAGCTGTGTTGACACGTCTTATTGTGGTTGGAGCTTTGTACTTAATGACTCTGTCAGTAAAAGAGCAAATTCATAAAATCGTATTATAGAATTGGAGCTGAAAATCTCTCTTAATTTTGAGAAGGAGTTTATAAAAACTCCTGAACTCTTGAAGAGCCATTCTTGTGTTGTGGAGTTGCTTCCTTTGGAGTGGTTTGTCTGTCAGGAGACAAAAAAATCTGCTACTTGTTATAAATTCCCAGGTATTAGTAACCTGTATTAGCAGCATCTGAAGCAACTTTTCTAGGTTTAAACAGTTTGGAAAAATAAACAGACTTATTTCATTTAAACCCCATTTTTTTAAAATATCTGCTCCCATTGTACCACAATTTTGGCCAATGTTGATATAGACTGAAGGAGCACAGTATCTCTGAAAAATAAAATAGTGGGTTTTAATTGAGTTGAAGTAGATATTTATCACCAGGTGTACAGCATATGTCACATCCTTGATAGTGGGGTTGTCTTTTTTCCTTGAAAGGTTCTGGAGTTTAAAGCTGAGAACAGGTCAGGAGACTCTTCTAAACTGGGGAGTGCTCACCATTCCTTGTGAGAGGTAAATTACCCTGTAAGCATCAGGCTGCACATTTATTTAGTGCCACCCTGCATTCTGTGGTCTCTTCTAATTCTTCAGTTCTCTCAGAATGCAATGTGGACGTCACTGAGGATTTTCAATCACAATTTATTGGTTCTCTTGAGTTGCACTCCTCTTGATCTGCCATACTTTTTTCTTAATTACTTTTCATTTGTTTTATTACTTAATTATTTTTATCATTTAACTTCTCACTGTGTTTAGTCACCTGATCCTTTGCATCTGTCAGACATCTCCCATTACAGGTGGGTTTGCAGTCCCAAGGTGCAGAGCTGACATTTTAAATTTGGGTGTTTTCATTACTCTGCTTCTGCAGCACTCTGCCTTCTTTAGGAATACTTTCTACTTTTAACTCAATCCTCTGCATCTCAAAAGGAAGATGAATATAGTAAAATGTGAAAAGGAGGGAATAAACCCCCTTTTCAGTCATGTCTAGAGTTTGAGTCAGTGGGCTGGAATTTGTGTAGCTGTAGAGGTCTATCCCATCTAATTACTATGGAAATGTATTCTAGCAGTGTTGAATGATTATTACAGCCTGGTAGATTAATCCTGCACCACTTGATTACTATGAAATCTAATCTAAATAGCACTTACAACTTCATCTGTTGTTTAGGTTAGAGGAGGGGGAGGAATGGAGAAGGGAGAGATGACAGCTTTCAGCAAAGCTTGCAGGTGGGAATTTAGTAATGACCATCCTGGCAATCTAAAGGGGCTCTTGACAAGTAAATGAGGAGGTAGGAGCCTAAACTTGTGTCAGAGGGCAAGGGAAAGAGGCAGAACACAGCCATGATTTTGTGGTGTTGAAAAACATCTGTACTATGTGATAAGAAAGATTGTTACATTTGATGCCTCTGCTATTATATTGAATTTTATTTTTTAATTTTGGTGAGCATTGTTATGACAGGGTTACTTTGTTTCACAGCTGAATAGGATCTGTCCCTAGAGCCTGCTTCTCTGAGATTAAGTTCTGTCAGCTGCCTTTGATAGCACTTGTAAAATGCTGCTGCATTGTTACAGGGCTGCTGGTGGCCCCAGCTTTATCCACACAGCTCAATTTCTTGTCACCCTTTCTACTCAAGGTCTACAGTGAGTTCCAATGTGCAGAGAAGTTTGGAATGGCAAACTTAAAATTGCTGTTGTAAATGTTGACATTCCTACTGTCTGGAGTCAGTTTGGACAGTTTTCATAGCACCACCCAGTACTGGCATGTGACTGGAAATTAGCTGGTCACTAAACACTTTTCCAGAAACAAATACATTACAAAATCTTCTATAAATGTAGGACTCCATTTGAATACTAATGGAGTTCTGTTGTAAGAGCAGTGTACCTTTTTAATGCCTTTTTATGGTGGCTGAGGTGTGATTTGGAAAAATAACTTGTCAGTTTTGAGCACTTTTGTGAAAAGGTCTTGTTGCTTATGAGGCACCACAATGTCCATGAAAAGCATCGCCCACATGGGATGGTACCAGGGTTTCCTGTGACACAAATCATCTCCTGAGCAGAGCAGGGGTGCCAGTGCTTGCAGGGCACCAAAACCAGCTGGGGATGTGCAAACCTCTGCAGGAGGGGCAGGGCTGGCATTTACTTCATCCCAACCTCAAAGTTTCATTGCACCACCACAAGGTCTAATTAACTCAAAACCAATCAGAAAATGAGTTGTGGATGGCAAATGAAATCTCTCTAAAGTGCTTTTGATCAGACTCCTTGTGGCTGTGGCAAAGCAGAACTGTATGAGGGTTTTCTGTAGATAGCTGTTGTTGGTTTCTGTTACTACAGGGAAGGTGTTTTGTTTCTAATTTCTCAAATAAAACCCAGCTCTCTCTACCATAGTCATGTTTCTGCTGTTGTACTTTTACTGCTGGCAAATACCTTGATCAATTTAAGCAAAAAGTTGGTTGACACAGAAGGGATGACTCTCTAAGAAATATTAATTAAATTTTTGACTTTTTCCTCTGGCTATAAGTATCATGTATTCTATCAAAATATGTAAATTAGTCCTGAAGGAAAGTTTATCTGTGTATTTGAAAAAAAAAAAAGACTGAGAAAGAATGCATGACAATTCTCAAACCATTCTTTTTGCAAATGACTTTATTAATCAGATATTAATATGAACTGAGATATAGCAGCTAGAAGAAAGACAGCACCTTTCCACAGCAAGCACCAATTGAGATATACCAAGCTTTGGTTGAATAAAAAAATCCCCAGGGTCAGTTCAAGACTTGTTTTGCCTGAGAATTTTATCCTCACTTTATTTTAACCTCGCTTTTTAAACCTCACTTACAATCCATTTTTCCATGCTGTGACAGTGATGCTTGGAAATGTCAGTTTGTCCAAAATTCACAACTTCCCAACTAATTCTACATTGCTGCGCAGC